GCATTCTGAAGGAAACTGGACTGTTTTTAACATTGAAATCTAGATTGCTGATGCCATGTCCAAAGTCCTATGATCTGTTTTGCTATATTAAGTATAGAGTTTCCGAGGAGTGACTGGTGAGTTTGAACCACCGACTTTGTAGTTCAAACCGAACTTACAACCCTGTGCTTATCCTACAGAGCCACACCAGGACTCCTTAGCAAACTAGATTTAAGACAGAGAGGTCTTTTCTTTTGAATTATGATTTAGAAAGAAACCCCAGGAAGGGCAACTCATTCCCAGATTATAACCTATTTTATCATCTTTGAAATCTTAATATTTCATTCCCTTATCTTAATGATTGGTTTGGACTTCTGGTGTGGTGCTGTAGGATCAGCTCTGGATTGCGAACTACAAGGTTGGCAGTTCAAACCCACCAGCTGTTCCTCATAAGCCCTATACAGGGTTACTATGAGTCGAAAACGACTCAATGGCATTTAACAATGACAGCAACAATGCTTGGCTAATGGGGGCATGGGGCTGTAAAAGTAGGATGTTAGTAATTTTTAGCAAAACTTAAGATATAGGGGAGGAACATGAAGAGATATTGCACAACTTATGGGAGACAGGCCAGAGATAGAGGTTAATGACAGAAAATTGATTCCTAATACTGAGAACCTCAGGGCAACATAAGGAGTTCTGGTAGCGTAGTGGTTACAAATCAGGCTGTGAACCGCAAGGTCAGTAGTTCTAAACTACCAGCTGTTCCGCAGGAGAAAGATGAGGTGTTTTGCTCCTGTAAAGATTTACAGCCTCAGAAACCCTGTACAGGTTCGCTATGAGTCAGAACCAACTCCACAGCACACAGCCGCCACCACCAGCCAGGGCAATATAGCCTAAACTGCTATGGTCAATCTTATTCCATTTTGCTTGTCACCTGATGCTAGTTTTGACACTTAACATATTTATAAATCAGAAGCTACTTCATTTATGCAAATATTTTAGCTTATTTTAAATATTGAAGATACTTTGGGAAATTTCTGTGCTCTATTGTAATACTTAATGGTAATCATGTGTATACTGGATAGGCAGGTGATAAGAATCTAGAGTAAATGTGTGTCCACAGAGAACTAAGTCAACTCTCTTGGAAATGAGGCTTTTAAAGATTTGCCTAAGATCTATTTCTATATCTGGGTTTCATGAGTATCTAGTGGGGCAATAGGGCTTTAAAATAGAAAGCTCTCTGTGTTTCACAGAAGTTTTCATGATTGCACACACTCCTCATTTATGTTAGGTTCCAAAGACCAGTTTCTCATACAAAAAATAAGCATTATGCAAAAGTGAAGAGTGATGAGATCAGATCACAAAATAAGAATAGCTACATCATTGCATAATGGCCAAATTTTATCATTATCTAACTGCTAGATGACTGAGAATCATGGATCAGCCAAGTTGACATGACTTTAGCCATCACAATCAGTGTAACTCTTGCCTCACACCTCGGCATTCATTAGTGCCAGACTTATATCGTTAATATGCAAAATAGTTGGATAGTAGATTTTTTACAATTGCTGTGAATGTGAAATGTTGGATAATTATATAGTCAATAAATGAGAAGGTATATACAGACAATATCATTATTGCAGCAATGATCAAGAGACCCATAAAGAAACCGGTTGTAATATCTGTACATATGAGGAAAAACCAGGCACCTATCTCAAATTGCTTAATGCATATGGTAAAACAACTATTAGAATGTTTCATTTCTTTAAAGAAAAGTAGTATGATTTCCAACAAGCATGTCCAACATTAGAGAACTTGTTGGAGTAATGTAAAATTTTTCCTTTAATAACCCACAAGGGTTATTTAGAGATTTGTATGTATTATTGTGGGCTAAATATACAGAACACATCTTGGCATTTTAGAAGATCACTGATTTCTGATATTTGAGATCATACCAATAAACAAAAATTCAATTTAAGCTTTACAGGAGGTTTATTTCCTATTTATCTTTAAGAAATAACTAAAAGAACTTAAGAAAGGGTCAAAATTTTTTTCATACTGAAGTACAGATAACTAATATCTTCTTGAATTAATATTCAACTGAATAAAAGAAAAATAAAATTAATTTAAAGGTACAAGATAGACTAAAAGGATGAAACTACTTTGTGAAATGGTAAAAACAAACAACAAAAAAAAACTGCACATATTTGGGATATATGTGAGGAATAAAAAAAGTTCTTCTTAGAATCTGAAAATCAAAAGAAGTAATTCTGCCTTTACTTACAGAAAACTTTGGTTTCCAACAAAATGAGAAATTCCTACCATTTAATACTATTGCATTTATAGTCAAAGTCTCAGTTTGAAGATTATTAATATTGAATCATATGAAATGGTCAATTTCAACCACTTTTGACCTAAACAAAAAATGGCACTTCCAACCTAATACTGTCTCTTTATGCTGCATAATTAACTTATCATTAAAAATAATTTTATGCCAAACCAATTTACCCAACTGTGAAATGGTTGGAGTTAAGGGTCTGAGTCTCTGGAGGGACAGATTTGTGTTTGTAGAAGACACTGTTCATTTACTTACCTTGGTTAGTCTTCTATTGCTGTGTACCAAATTAAGACAAAAATAATAGCTCCCAGCAGCGCATATTTATTATTTTACCATTTCCATGGGTTAGGAGCCAAGGCATGGCTAATTGGATCCTCTGCTTATGGCTGAAATTAAGGTGCAGGCCAGACTATGCTCTCATCTGGAGGCTTGACTGGGGGAAGACTTCACTTCCATGCTCATTCAGGGTGTTGGTTGACTTCATTGCTTTATGGTTGTGCAACTTCTTTGTGGTCATAGTTTCATTCTTTCTTTATCTTTTTCTTTTTTTTTTTTTTTGAGTTTTATTCATTTGTTGTATTTTTTAAAAATGTTTTATTGTGAATTATGTGATAGTTTACATGGGAGAACATTAGCTTTATATTCATCCTATCATATATAATTTCATTGCCATTGTTGCATTCCCCTCCATGCATCATCAACCAACCAAAGGGTATAATAACCTGTAAGCTTGCCACCCACCCCACCTGGTCATCAGCACACAGTCCCTCTCCCTCTCTGGGTCTAGAGTCCCCAGCTGCTCCATCTCTCCACATCATCGTCTCTGCTTCTATCTCTGGTGTCACTGCCTCTCTGGGCAGGGTCTCACACTCCGTTCTTTTCCCTTGATGGTTCCAGGGACCTTAGCTCCTGGACTGCATAGTCAATCACTCCCCTCCTTTTGCTACGAAACATCTACCTTTACATTTACAACCCTTGCAGTCTGTCCTGATAAAAATTATTCATTATTGTACCCCAAGGAACCTATCCCCATCTCCTTTCATTAGCCCTGCCCAGACAGATTGGATAGCACCTTGCTAACATGAGAATCCTGGTGTGGCACTGTCGGTTAATGGCCTGGACTGCAAAGCCATTTTGAACAGTAAGGTCGGTGGTTCAAGCTCACCAGCTGCTCCTCTGAAACACTCTACAGGGTTCCTATGAGTCGTAACCTATTGGACGGCACTGAACAACAGCAACATGAGAATGTTACAGAGTCTTCATCTGTCCAGTGAGTTTCCCAAGTCCTGTCCCCGTCCTGTGGGACTGTCACATTATAGTTATATGTATAGTATGTAAAGAATTTGACCAGACCACTGGAAAAGGACAGGCCTTTAAAGAATGACACACACTGTTGTGATGATTCGGACCTCAAGACAATATATAGGATACCTCCAAGGAAACTTCCGACAACTCATGGTAAAATCACATTGTCTTTGTTTTTTTAAATTATTGTGAATTTGGTGAAGGTCTACAGAGCAGATATTCAGTTTCACATTCAACAATTTCATGCACATACTGTTTCATTCCAAAAATTCCATGATCTTTAAAATTCCATTTTCCACACACTTTTTGAAGACCCTTCATAAGTATTTTTAATACAGGAGGTGTGAGATGATAGGAAATGCTCTTGGGCAAAGAACACCATGTTGTCGTTGTTGTAGTTTTTGAGCTCAGAACCAAGAGTACCAGCCCAGATGATATGTGCCATCTCACTTCAGGGGAGGGAGCACCACTCTTATTTCTCAGAAACTCCTTCAAGATATTGTGCATAGAACATCTAGCTTTTGGAAAGCTTTCACATGTCCTGGGACAACACCGAAGGATGCCTTTCATCCCTGCCCCAAGTGGAGATTTTATTCTGGTCTATCCAGGATCCCAGAGAACTCATAAAAGCAGCTTTCTATTCTAGGGTTTTGTCTCTCAACTCCAAAACACACATGTTGAGAGTCTGGCTTATGGTCACCAGTGCCACAGCCTATTTCAGCCAACCACTCAGTTTACTTTAAAATTCTGTACTACAAAAGAACTTGCATTTTCCGAAAGATCCAAAAAGCTTTGCCTCAGGAACTTTACACATGACTGCTCTCATCTGGAACAGCTGATTCACACCTATTCTTTTGCTGTGGGTCAGAGAGGAGAGCTCAACATCTCCCTTACACAAGAGCAGGTCCTAGTCTCTAAAATTCTACAGCCTGGGATGGGGCTTTATCTTAGCATCCCGAGTACTAGCACTCAGCCTTTCAAAACACAGATCCTCAATTAATGTTTAGGGGAAAAAAAGATTCAGGGAGCAAGTGATCAAATGTATGAAGATTTCATTTCACCACATTCTACAATAAGATAAGCATATCCAGGTATAAACCATATATCTTGTACTTTTACCTAATGGAAAACTAAAAGCAACCAGGAAAGCCAAGAAGTGATCATGTTTTACTCAATTCCCACTTTTATTTCATTATCTCAGCAATTTAACTTTGGGGTTCTGACATTTCCAAGAAAATCTCTACTGATGTCAGATTATCTAATGTGGAGGAAAAGAAAAGCTCAGATTACTAGGGTGGCTGGAGAAGGTGCTGTACTTGGCCCATAAAAGTCCACTGGCTGTGATGGTAGGGCCAATTCTGACTGTAAGTGTGGTTCAGGCTCTTCCTTCTTCATCTCTCATAGCCTCTTCATATAGGGCTTCTAGAGAGCTGGGGAGAATACCGTTGACCTTGGCCAAATACTCAAAGATTTTGACCTTAGAGGTTTCAGCGTGGGCTTTGGGACCCCACAGGAATTCATAGCATGGAGGATCACTGTTGGGTATCTGCCGATACTCCAAGAAATTCAGCCTCACGAAATCTTTGGTAATGAGCTGCCTGGGCTCACCATAGATGAAGTGCTTCCTCCCAGCAAATATATGCATCTTATTCAGGAATTCCCAGATCTCCTTCTCTGGTGTGCAATTGCCATTTAATAAGATGACACCTAGGAGGGTCATCAGTAGACTGGTCTTGGGCAACCCTATGCCAGCACGTACCCTTCCTTTGTTGGGGAGGTTCAGTTTGCTAACCAGAGCATAGGACTTAGTGGTGGAGTCAATTTCCTTCACATCCACAGCAAACATAGTCTCAATGCGTTCAGATACGATCTGGAAGATCTCAGGAAAGTGATCTTTATATTTCCGGCTGATAACCTTTAGCATGTCTGCCATGTAAATGGGCTGCTTCATTTTATACTTGTATATCAGGAACTGCTCCAACAAATCTGCCTTAATGGTCAGAGGGTCAGGAATGCAGCACTCAGTTTCAGAGATACAGCAATGTTCTTCATTCTCTCTGTTGACACCTTCATCCAATCTTCTGCAAGAATTGGCTACATAAGTTGTAGTGGTGGACTGGGGTCTCTGAGACCTCTTGGGAATACTACACGAGTCCACAGCAGCAGAACCCTGGGTGGTATCACTAGGACAAGCAGAGGAGTTAGAGAGGGGCTCTTTGTCCACTGCTGCTGTGGCCTGAGCACCTCTGCTATCATGGGCGTCCCCTGGGCCCGGAGGGTGTTTCTCACGATTTCGGGACTTATTCTTCTGACGTCGAGGCATGGTGACTCTGCTCAAGGACAGTAGGCAGGATCCTGGACAGAAGAGTAGGTCCTGAGGATGTGGGAGGCTGAGAGGATGTGCCTCCCTTCATCAGGCAGATGCCTCCTGGGCTTTAATGGAGGGCACTTCTGCAGCTCTAGAAACACAAGCGTCTTTGCTCCTGATCGTCTCACTTGGAGAATTCTGTGGAGGAAAGTAGAGAGGACCATAGGCTGCAACCTGCCAGCCCTGTCTGGAATTTACTAGGACTGACAGAGGGCTTTATAAAGGGAGTCCTCCTATTGTGGAGTGAGGGGTTATCTCAGTACACATTTAGGATATCATGCTAACTGTTTCCTGGGCCCTCTCACTTGTGCTGCTGAATTTTCCGCTGAAATTGACACCTCAAATCAAGGCACATACTTCCCCGAGTCTACAAAAGCATAAATGAAGGAGCACTTAATTCAGCCCATCATCCCTGCCCAAGGACACCCAGTGCTGACAGTTCAGTGAGGATCCTCTGCCTTCAGAACACTCATAGATTTCTCAGATCTCATTCAAAGTCTCTACCTAGCCTCCAAGTAGGACCTGGAACACCTCCCTTCCACTGAATGGTGGCTGTACCCTCAAACAAAAGATCTTAATTTCTTGAGATCTAATATAAAGTATTAAGGTAGAGCCACAGCCCAACAGTCCTGACCTGAATTTTCAAGGATTGAAAGTGGGGAAGAATCTTGGACTGAATGCTATCTAATTTATTTAATAGTAAATGGCATTCTCAATGTTTATCATGACCCTGGGATGACCTGTAATACCCGCCTTACTTGTCCTGAGGCCTAGCCCCTCACACTAAAGCTAGCTCCCCTTAAGGAAGTGTGATGGTTTACCTAAGAAGAGTGATGGTTGCCTCATTTGAGCTCCCCTCTCTGTTTTCTGCCAAGATGGATTGACAGTAGCAGGTGGATTCGATAATTTCCCTACCGTCATAGATTGGGTGACCTCGATAGCCCCCAAATTCTTCACATTGACTCCTGGAAATCAAGACAATCTTTCTACTGCTGACTTCTGCTCAAGCCCCTTACACCTAGTCCCTCAACCCCCTGTGACATCAGACAAGCTAGTGGGTTGGGTTAATTATGTCAGAAATGCCCTGATATCCCAGGGATGCCAGCAGGGCTGGGCTATGGGCAGTCTCCTCAGTTCTGATGAGAGAAGGTTCCCTCATTCTGGTTCTTTACCTTGACTCCTGGCCACTCTTGGGATTCCTTCTTTTGCTAATCTCAGGTTACCACTCAGACCAAGACCCTTACCAGGGCCTCTCAGGGATGGGTTCTATGGCAACCACAGAATCCACTCAGAGTTCCTTCCTGGATTGCTGACAGGGCCTGAGATGTCTCATTTGATTGGCCTATGTCTCATAACCTCAGACCATGATGCCTTAGAGGGGGAAGTCAGGGAATGCTACATGAACTTCCATAAGTCTAGGCCCTGCCACAGATGAATTGAAGATTCATGATCTTGTTGAGGGGCGAAGTGTGTCCTTAATCTTCATTCAGGATCCTCAATTTGACTACTGGCAGACCTTGGGTTTCCTATTACTTCTCACCTGAATGTATCCCCTTAGACCAATGTTTTAATGCTATTGAAAGCCCTGAATTTTAACAGAAGATGCCGAGGTCCTACGTCGGGGTCCCGCCTCGACAAGGAAGTGTGGGTGTCACAAAGAAGGGAGATCTGCCGGCGAAAGTGATAGAGAAAGAGAGAGACGAAATATATACAAAAAGGACAGACACACAGATATGATGCAAGCTGGCAGTAGACAGATCTGCAAACATATTGCCTAGCATTGCACAGCATTGCATTGTAGAACTTACTCTACCTCAGCCTTTTATTCTCTTTTTTAGGGAGGAATTTGTTACAAAGGAAGGATGTAATTCACTCAGGGAGGATGTCACAAAGGGAGGATGTGATTAAGACAGGATAGGAACTGAAATGTGATTAATCATTCAAAACAGGACATAATGATTCACAGGAACAACTTCTAAGATATTTTCATAGTTTTTCTTAACAATCTAACATTTTTATTTTTAAAGAACAAAAGGTTCAATCAAGCTGTTATATATTAACTTTTAGGCTTAAATGATCTAGAGCAGTGACGTGCGGTTTCTTAAAGATACTTAACATAAAGCAAGGTTCCTGAAAGGAGCCAAGCTGTCTCTGTACACTTTGCAAACTTTTGTTTGTGAGCAAGATCTCAGGCACCGGGCTTCATTTATCTATACCTAAAATGCTACATTGTTCTTAATATTCCTATATACTTTCAGGAGGAAGGAGAGCATCTGGGTTAAACTGATTATATTTAGAGGTGGTTTAATGGGGCTGGCACTGATCAACCCAGAGTCTGTGTATGCTGTCCCCAGCAAGAAGATATATTCATCTTGAGAAACCTGTCTGGAGCTCTCTATGTCCCAAAGCAGACCAAACCTTTCACTCCATGAACACATATATTTGAGTATGTCATTCCCACAGTCTTCCCCCATGGGATGTCTTTATCTTGCCTCCTATTTCTTTGATTAAAGACTTCCTGGAAAATGCCACATCCCTGCAAACCCTTGAGTAACTTCTGTACTGTTAATGATGCAGAAACTGGGCCCTTGTCCCAGAGTGAGGAGTGATGTTAGATGGAGACGCTGAAGGACAAGCAGGAGCCCAGGACAGGTGGTGGGCAGGTAGAGATCTACTTCTTCTCCGTAGCCCCCTCCACACGCACACAGACTTAGTTTCTACAAGGAAGGAATTAGACCCAATAATTCTGTGAGTCACTGATCTTTTCAGGGGAATGATCTCGTTTTTTGAAAGTTCTTTGAGTGGTGTGAAAGGTTAAGCTCTGGACTATTAACCAAAAGATTGGTGGCTCAAACCAACGCACAGGTGCCTTGGAAGAAAGTCCTGGCAATCTGCTTCCTAAGTGTCACCGCCTTGAAAACCTTACGGAGCCCAGTTTCACACTGAAGCACATGTGCTTGCTCACAGTCAAAGTCAAACCAAGCAGCAACTATATTTTGTTGTTGTTTTTTGATTTTTAGAAGTTAAGTGATATTTTATATGCCATTTTTGTTGCTAAGTGCTGACAGGTTTCCAAGGAGAGACTGGTGACTTTGAACTGCCGGCCTTGAGGTTCAAACTTACCTTGCAGTCCTGTGCTGATTGTCACTGGATATTGCCCCATGCTTTTCTTTACTGATACTACAAATTTTGATATTCTTATTGCTCAATCTCTGCATTCCAAAACAGTAGTTTAAGCACAAGGTTCTTCACAATTATTTGTAGTGAGAAGAAAAGCGAATAAAGAGACATAAGATCAGCTTCCGGCTAGAAGAAACCGAACAGTGTGGGCTCCAGATGGATTCTGAACAGGGGTTTTGTTAGGTTCGTCACCTAATGGCATTTTAACTAAAGAGCACTGTAAGATCTTCCTCTGCCAAGTGATTCTGATAAAACTCTACTATGTAGGACTGTAGACACATATGTAAAGTATGTAAAGCCCTTGCCACAGAACTCAGGTCTTTAATGAATGATTATTTAAAGCCCAGATGATAGCAACTTAACCTCAGAATCATTCCCTAGGAAATGTTTAACAATATACAACACTGAACACCTGGGTTCCTTTTATTTCCCATTGGAGCACCTACTATTTCATTTAGGAGTGGGCTTCTCTTCTCCATTTGGATCTAACTCAAAGTTCCTGTTTGTGTCAAGGATCAACAGGGTTTCTCCTCCCAGCTATTCTTCTCAACAATGTCTATTTTCATTCATTTTGTTACCCATCTAAAATTGAAAGCTCCCTTACAGTGTCTGAGTTGCATTCAAGATGGTAGGGTTTCAGTTTCTTTCCAGTCAATTTCAACTCATAGTGACTTAATGTGTACAAATCACTCTATAGGTTTCGCAAGGCTATGATGATTCCAAACTTATTCTTCAGACTTGTTTTTTGATATTCCTCTGCATGAGTTCAAAATACCAATTATTTGACTAATAGTTGAATGTTTAACCACTTGTTCCACTCAACAACCCTTACAGTCAAGAGAACCTAACTCCAATTTGTTTTCGATGGAGTGGACACTGGCGCCCATGGCCCAAGGCAAAAACCTAGACCCATGACTGCTAAACATCTCACCTCCATGGAGTATTAGCCCATTTCTCAGAAACTTCCTAGATGATGTGAATAAAACAACCAATTAGAAAACTAGTTCTAATGAGCTGGCAAACCTTCCAGTCTTGCCCCATATGGGGATTTCCCTCTGATTACTCACAATTCCAGAGAAACAGTTAAAAGCCAATCTCTATTCCATGCTCATATGCTGGATCATGAGACACAGCATGAGAGTGTAAACACCTATGCACCCCTCCAAAGTCTCTTGTAGTTTCTCCCCAGCCACTAATCCACCACATGTTCCTATATCCTCACTACCCTTCCCTACCTCATGCAGCCTAACCATAATTCTTTACTGAGAGATCTAATTATCTCAATGCCCCCAAACAGCCCTGGATGAGGGTATTTACCTTAGAGGGAACCCTGAAGTGCTTGTTCCTTTTATCCCAGTACCTTAGGTATTGGAGAGTAGTTGAAAATTTTCGTATTTCATAGCTTCACTTTAATTCATAAATTAATGTTGTTGTTAACTGCTGTTACGTCGGTTTTGACTCATAACCACCTTGTATATGTTTTCTGAGGAGAGGCTGGTGACGAGCAGGCAAGCTTACAGTTTAAACTAACCTTGTGGGCCAGTTATAACTTCTTTGCCTAAAGGTCCCCAGTACAACTGTGAAGTCTTCAATGACTATTTATGAAAATAAGAGCCAGTGAACGAGAAGTCTAAAGCATCAAAATTTATTTTCTCCCATATTCTTGAATAAGCTAAACGAATGTTTAGGTCTATTTTCATTTGAACAAAAGCAGTAAGGGAAACCAAGAATTGATCACATCTTTTATTGTCCCATCTATCTCTTGTTCTCAACTA